AGTTAGTTTTTCACTTACTTTCATAAAGAATAGCATAACATTAAAGGAGAGAAATATTGGGAAACAATATAAAGAAACCAGTGATTTGAGATTGACACCCAAGAGGATTGTGTTGGCTCGAGGTTTGGTTTGAGGACCTAGAATTTTAAACTCAATATTGATTTGATGAGTCTGGGTTTCCTTATAGCAAAGACTAATGAGTTAAACCAGATCCCTAACTATGAATTCTAGTCCCAACGGGTGATCTCTAGTTCAAGTGGTTAGACAATTGGGGTTCACTTGACTAGGGCCATCTACTAAAGGTTATTCGAGGGTCATTCTTTGACTTAATCAAACTGATCGAGTTGGTCTGTTCCTGATCTCAATCCTTGACTGTTTGAAGTGTTTTGGACCATGTTAATCTAGTGGTCCACAGTTGCTAAGTAGTATTAGTGAGGAGTGTTGACTGTTGGGTTTATGTGGCATTTAAAGGCCTTATTACTGCTTGTAAAATGATATAGTGGAACATGAACTCAGTGGGAGTGTGGTCCCTTGTGGACCATACTAAGCAAACGATGATTTGCTGATACCGATATGTGCTCAATGATCTAAGCCAGTCGGTTGGAAAAAATCCATGTTACCTGAGCATGAAGAATAAACCGATGAGGGTTTATGGGTTAGCCCTTGATGAGGTCAGAGAACATGCCTAGATGAGTGAGTTGAAGAACTGTGTGACCCTTGTGTGTGATGTTGACCTGCTGAGACGGGGGCCAAAGCCTCGTCCATGATCCATCACATGGCATGCATATCGATAGATCGTTTGGGAAAGCCAGAAATCCACCTTTTAGGGTGAAGCGTATACATGTGCGAGAGATACCCGTATGGGTCATAGAGCCGTAGTCGCATCATGTCGTGGTGATCTTGACTCGTCTATAGGGGAGGACTTGTAATCCACAAACTGGGATTGCAACCCCTTAATTCATCGACCTAATTTTGGTCACTCGCTAATGAGCCCCTGCTTAGACTATGGGTTATGAGAAACACTAGGTTGGTTCGATAAAGCTAGTGTGGTTTGTAGTCTACAGTTGAAGGTGGAGTACCCCGTTATTACAGATTGGATTCCTAAAACCATATGGATGATTTTTACATCGTATTAATTTATTTGTGTTCATTTTATTATTGAAATGATTTTAGTTTTATTATTTGAATTTTATGAATCTCTCAATATTTTATTTGTGTTTTTTGGACTTATAAAATACAATTATTATTATTACAAAGTTATAAAAAATTCAAGTATATATTTTAAATTATTTTATTCAATTTTAAAAATAATATTTTTTTCCATGGGGGCCCATAGTGCACATGGGCTCACCATGTGGCATGTGGGTGGGGGCCCACATGTGCCACAAAATGGTGGCACACCCCACCCTCTTTGGATTCTCTTGTTTGCTTTTAAGATAATGTTAGTTTGATTTGTGGCATGTGGTCAAATATTGGAAGGGATATATTGACCATGACTTTATCTATTTATTAACAAGTTTATTTTAAAGACATGGTCAATTTGAATTGATATGGATCTTATCTTATTTATATTTGGTAGTATTTAACTACTTGATATTATTTGACATATCCTTATGAAATATGTGACATGGATCGTGCAATTTTATAGAATGCATGATATTTATTTTATTTAAATATATTGATGGGAAAATGGTTTAGAAAAGGGGAATAATGGTTCATGCACCTTCCATATGTTGATGGCATATCTATGGAATGGATGGCTCAGATCTCTCACCCCACAAGTCATCATTGGTCTATAGTCTATGTTCAATCTCACAATAAGTGGCAAACTAAGGAAAACCCTAAAAAACCCGAATCTTATTCAGAGCCTATAAAAATAGATTGTCTCTACCCAAAAATCTTTACACCTTTTCTTTCTATCTCTCTTAATAAAATTTATCTCTCTCATGTGTGATCTCTCTCCCACATTATGAAATAACCTAAGGGTTTAGGTTATTGAGTTATTCTCTCCTATCTCTAAAATAAAGATTTATGGCTTAAGGTTTTAGGGTTTAGCAAAAAGAGAATCCATCTTTCTCAAACTAGGTTGCTAAAAGAATTTACTTAGGATTTGAGTTTGTGATCAAAGGGGTTTCATGTTCCATTGGTGTGGCTAGGCCAAAATTTGCTTTCCCCGTTCGAGATTGAAGTTAGACCGTTGATCCTGCGCCATCAGATGGTGGTGACTCGGTGTGAGGTGTAATAAGCCCGATTGAGGTAATTTTCGGCACTCTTCTTTTTTTTGTTTCTTGCAATCTTATCTTTTATTCTCAAACGTAGTGCATAATTGTTTCAATGGCATAAAGTTGTTGAGATCTTGGTTTTATTGTTATGTTGATTTTATTTTGAAACTTATCTTATTATATAATAAAGACCACTTGTAAGTGATATTTCGCCAAAAGAAATGGGTGAAAAAAATAAAAAAATGTATTCCCCAGTAAAAAATCACATAGGTATTTCTTTCATTGACTTGGAGACTAGGACAATTGGCCTTAGTCTTGTGGGTCTGACGGGCGCAATGCCTCCTGGGCTGATGGCTCGATGCCCTAATCACAAATGAGGATGAGGCCACGAACTATGCATGCAATTCATATCTAATTTTGGTTCAGTCGTAGGACATGGCTTAATCAAATCTAACATAAAATAGTTAGACGTGTCCCCACATAAAAAGGTTTGAATCGATTTAACCTAATTTCTATAAGCAAATATTCACTTGCGGAATTCCTAGCTAATAAAATGTTAAAATACAGTTCGGGATTGGGTCCCCCACATACGTCCCAGGCCAACCCTCATGGGAGTGCTTTGGGGTGTTATGTGTTCGGTGCTCTTCAAGGTAGGATTAATGAAGGGATTCTCACCTTAAGGTTGTGTGATCCCCAACCATTCCAACTCTAAGTAGGTAGGTGCCCCTCATGACTTTATCACTGGTTTCAGCAAATGACTTTTAGGTTAGTGTATGCACGAGTATGGAAAAGTAGCACTCTTGTGATGGTGCAAATCTGTGGTGAATGCAAGCAAATATTCTACGTAAGTAAAATATTGCAAGCAAATATACTAGTTGAAACAAAATATAGCAAATAAATCACAAAATAAACAACTATGATGGGATAGAAAGCAATAAATACAATTTTTATCATCTATTTATTTATTTTACCTTTTTTTTTTTCTTCCGCTTCTTCAATTAAGCTAGAAAATAAATAAATCGGAAGATATCGCCCAAACAAACACAAAGAAGTCCCAGGACCGCTCATAGCCATGTTGGGAAGACCAGAAAACAATGTCCCTTTGTTTTTCAGTTTTTAAAAAACCGAAAATCGTATTTAATTGAAACATATATATTTTTTTTGGGTAAGTCAAACATAAATACTTGAAGTATTGGATTGTAGAATACGAGTTTCTGGTTTATAAAACACCGAAAACATGATATTTTGAAAATAAATTGTTATGAAGTTCAAAAAAAAAAAAATTCGATTTTTGAAATACCGAAATAATAAAAATTTTCATTTTTTAAAAACTAAAAAATTCAAAAATTTCGGTTTTTGAAAAGCTGAAATGGGTAGTTTCATCTTTTTTAAAAAGTTGTTATAAAGTTTTAAAGACGGGCATATGTGTAATAATGAAAAGTATATATTTGCGTAATAACGGAAAATAAAACATACATTTACATAATTTTTTGTTCTTTTTAAAAATAGTTAGAGTAAGAGGGGGGAGGGGAGGGGATCCAAAATTTATCTTACTAATGGATTATAGAAATTGCTCTTACTATACCAGGACACTTAACCCAATCACTTAATTATGACTTCACACTGTTCACACAGTGCCATCAAAGCTTTTATCTTTTTTTTTTTTAGGTAATCCACGGGGGAAGACAACCCCCTACCTGTTTTTTCAATTATTTTAAGAGTTAGACCATGAATAACTTACATTCATTGCCCACATATTTAAATGTAGTCGGCATTTTTTGGTAATTGGGGAGGAATATTTGGCGAAGGAAAAAATTTCCGTGCACATCTATTTAAGTGACAAAGGCGCATGTTATGTTCTTGTGGAGTATATTGTATGCATACTCCTCCAACTAGAGGACCTTCTTGGGAGGTTTTTTTTTTTTTTGAATCTAACAATTTATGAATTATCTAAGAATCTGTAGACAATTATTTTTAAAAGAAAGCCTTTAAATTCATAGTTTCTAACACTTAAATCTCACATTTAAAAATAAGATGGTCTTTGTTCAATCTTAAAATATTATTATCTTTTTAAGTGCACAAATGGTACCACTAAGAACTTTCATTTTATTTTATTGAGTTAGTTCATGAATCAAAAGAGGTTACACTTCAAAAAATTAGAGGTTCTAATTTTACCTGAGGGAGTAATTTTATTTTATTTTATTGAGTTAGTTCATGAATCAAAATTATACGTTAGATTTTACCTGAGGGGGTAATAAATAATGTGTAAAAACAAAAAAATCTTTTGGCTTAAATGTATAAATGAAATTATTTACTTTTAATACAAAGTAGTCACCGTAATTTGACCATTAAATGTGAAATTGGATAGTTATATTTATTTCATTAATCAAGCTCAAAATATAATTTTTTTTTTTTTAAATTTTACAACACACCCAAGCTATCAAATTTCACAAGTACTTGCCGCAAACGTGTATATATATATATAACGTGTATATATATATATATATATATATTATGATAGAAATTGAATGTTAGGTGCCCCAAGCGTATATATAATAATAGGAGATCCTCGGTAAAAATATAGCCCACAGCCAGGTTTCCTGGTCCACAACTTTATCGTTCTGAGCCGCTTACCCGCAAATAGTGTGCACTTACGTGGCGTTATGTTGGCCTTTGCTTGGCCATTCCTGAATCTTGGCCGTCCGTTCCCATCTGGGGGCCTATATAAAGGTCTCTTATTTCGTTTCCTGAGATCGTACCTGCAGGCTGGGGTCTTCATTCGAGTCATATTAGGTTTTCAGAGTTTCCCTTACAGGTAAGTGTTCAATATCCATTTCCAATCTAATGTTTATTATGTTTACTTTTTTGTGTTAATTTCTGGTTCCATTTGCCATCCCATCATGGTTTTTTGTTCAGCATTGCTTCTTTTTGCCATTGGTCATGAATTTACCAACCGGCAAGGGCTCTTATTTCCAATCTAATGTTCATTATGTTTACTTTTTTGTTAATTTCTTGTTCCATTTGCCATGCCATCATCGTTTTCTGTTCATCACTTATTTTTTTTTGTCATTGGTCATGTATTTGGTGTTGAATTTCTCTGCATTTTCCTGTTAATTTATTTTTAATATTGCATAGACCTGTTTCTTGTTGGTTTATTATTTTTTGTGTTTACTTAATTTAGATGTTCTTTCTATTTTTTGGTTGTTTCTCTGTTGGGTATATCTCTTGTACGTTATGTTTTAAATGCTTTTGATATTTAACTGAGATTTGAGTTGAAATGCGATAGTAAAAATCACTCATTTTTGTTTTATTGTTCTTGATGATTGAGAGTTGAGAACAATGTGGCTGTGGAGATGCTTACACCACTTGCGGTGGATTTAACTCAATAAAGTCAGTGGCTGAATTGCCTTGATTAGATAAGTGCGGTATTTGGTTGCTAAGAATCCAAGGGAAATGGTATTTTCATACATGATGAATTGATAGTTCAAATGAATTACAATTTTGGACCTCTCTGATGCTAACTGCAATCAAAACTTTTGATTTCATTTGATTTAATGAGTTTCTTAGATGGCTTAAAGGACTATTTCTGTTTGTTCTCATGGTGACTGAGGGGTTTGGCATCAAGGTAATCATGTGCTTATGGGATTATAATATTAAAATGTGGAAAGACGCATTTTCTCGAGGTTTCTACAATATAGTGATTGAAGATGGTGGATCTGAATAGTTCAAGGCTGATCTATGATTATTTCCCTCGGTGATTAGGAGTTCAAAAGGAATTGTTATGCAGCCTATGATGACTCACAGCATTGGATTTATGTTAAGCTCTTTCAAATGTAATGTTAAAAATGTGAGGTTACTTTACCTGGAAAAATGATAGAAATATCTTTTGCGTAAAGTTAATTTTGTATTAAAAACGTAGCAGATATATATATCTGGTTGTACCCATAATCAGAGAGATATCACTTGAGTGAGGAAGACATGGAAAAAGGTGAAATGACCAGGTATGCTCCTCCATACTTAGGGGGTCAACCCTCCCCCCCAACCCCCGCCCCCAACAAACAAACGGAAAAATAAAAGAAGAAAGATAATTACAGTCAAATGGGGGCAACAAAGTTAGGATTGTTATGTCCTTCCTCTCTCTCTTTCTCCCTTGTTTTTATATAGATATTGGGCCTCTCTCTCCTTTTTTATCTCTAATAAACCCCTTAAATCTCAGCTTCTCTTCCCTCAGAGTTTTGGCATACCTTTGCTTTTAATGGAGTTTCATAAGAGTTGCAGAGACTATTATTCTCTCTCTTTTCATCACAGGAAAAAAACTCTAATTCAACAACTCCAACCAGTACAGATGGAGGGGATGCTCAACTTTTGGAAACTGAAACCAAATTCCTTACTGAAGTTGTAGGCTACTTTAAGAAGAACCTTGTATCCTTTTATCCTCCTCTTTCATGGCATGTAAAACTTCATTTTTTGTATTTCTCTTTCTTGGAAACTTCTTTAGCGATTATGCTACAAGTTCACAACTCTAGATTCAGTTGCCCTTTAAATATAAACTTCATCACTCTCAATGGAATCATATTATTGAAAAATTCCCAACAAAAACTTTGGAATCGTCTCATGAAGTTCAAGTAATTGTCTATGGCCTTGGCCACCACTATCAAGGGCCATACCCTCGGTCAGGCTATAGGTCACATCTCTTCTCACTACTTCTATCCATGTCCTTTTGGGCTTTTCCCTTACTCTTTTAGAGGTTTCCACTCGGACAAAATCCCCATTCCTAATTCGTGTTGTTCTAGGTCGAAGCTGCACAAGGCCAGATCACTGAAGTTTACTTTCCCTCATCTTATCGCTTATTGGAGCCATCTCTAAGTTCCCTTTGTGTATTCATTTTGAATACTATCTTTTCTTGTCTTGTTACTCATCCATCTAACATCCTCATCTTAGCTACGTTTATTCTATGAGGATGTTGTTTCTTGACTGCTCAACATTATGTTTGATAAAGCTTGATTGGTCTTACAACCATCCTATAGAACTTCCCATGTAGTTTCATTGGTATGTGACGCTTACATAAGCCTCCAAAAGCACATCATTTTGTTCACCTAGCTTTAACTTTATCGTGACATTCCTCAATCTCTCCATTCTCATGATTATCTAGCCAAGGGTTGAAAATAATTTCTTTTAGGTACTTCTTGGCATCAATCTTAACTAATTCCTTGTTTCTACTCCTATTATTATTGAACTTGGATTTCATATATTCTGACTTAGTCTGACTAATTTTAGAACCTTTAGATTCTAAATCATCCGTCCAAAGTTCTATGTTTGCATTGACGCTGTCTCTAATCTCATCCATCAAAGCTATGTCATTTGCAAACAACATTCAGTATGATATCTCATAAAAGAAGAGATATGGGCAAATGGAGACTCACATGCAAGCATACACACACGCACGCATATGTATATATTATATTTATGCATTAGAAAGGCATAATGAAGATAATTTTTCTATTGGAATCAAAGTCATCCTTTGATGAGCAGAATTTTTTTGGAACTTGTTGACGGAGAGGCTTGCAACTTTCAATGACACTTGGTGTTTTGACCATGTAGAATCTTATCGAGATTGTTGGCATCTTCATTTGCGTCCTTGTTTGCCATCCAACAACTTTTAACAGCACTTGGCGTATTCACCATGTAGAATCATATCAAGATTGTTGGCTTCTGCATTTGCCTCCTTGTTTTCCATCAAGTACCTCCCTAGTACGTGAAATACAATCTTACAAAAATGCCCACATAACTTAGTTTGAATTTCTATAGTACTAGATTTTTCTCTTGTTTGGAATCTGATTCTATGACGTAAGTCGCTTCTTATGATTCATAGCTGCACTTAAGTTTTTTATTGCATATGTTTTTTTCCCTCCATATTGGCTTGTATTCCATTAGTCCTGATTTTGTGTCTCCTGTTTGGGAATTGTTAGACTACCATCTAGGAGAATTGAGGACTTGTTTCCCAATTTGTGGTTTTTACGGTGACATTCACTCCTATTTTGGAGGAAATGTAATGTGTAGCGATTTAAATATTGTGTTTTGTTGCTTTGTGGATTCTTGATATGGCTAAGAGGCATGGCACATGACAAGATTGAATTCCCACATGGCCCTTCCCATACTTGTACTAATCCAAAGAAAAGTTAGGCACAATAATCAAGAATACTAGAGTAATCACCAACTAATTACCATCCCACTCTAAAGGGTCATGTTATGAGTACTAGCCTAAGGCTGATGAAACATCTATTGGGTAACTTGCCAACATAAGGTACTTGTATAAGATGGACCCTTTATGTTTATGATGGTCAATAGGGAAAACAATTGTTTGTATAGTCTAACTGGCAAAATGCAGGGACTAGGGTGTTTGCTCTTTTCCTCTTGATGCGACTTATTTGTAAACTCTTGACCTTAGCATGCCTTTCACCTAATGTTTCATAAACCTTCCATATATGTGCAGTATGGTGAAATAATAATGCTGTTAATATTAGTGTTAATGTTAACACTATTAATATTAGCTTTTATGTGGTTTGTATGACATCTAAATCATTCATCATCCTTCAAGCCTTATCCCAATGATTTGGGGTTGGCTTCATGATAAGATGTGGCAAAGTTTTATATTGGCTGCCTACCTGACGCAACCACCTCCTTTACCCGGGCTTGGGACGGGTTAAAGGAAAGTTTAAGGTCCTCACCATTATTAGACCTGATGTCTAAATCAATAAATTTTATAAATTAAATTCCTTTAGTGGCGGCCCTTACCAATTAATTTGTGTTAATCGTGGCATCATATTGGGTTGCATGTTAAAAATGTGTTTTTGGGCTTGCTACCTTGGAGTAAGTCATTAGGGGGTTTCTTATTACTAATTGAAGATTCACTTTGAATTTTTTTTTTTTTCCGGTTTGTTGTCACTTTGAAATAAATGTTAGGCCTTAAAAGTGACCCGCTTGGTATATTCTAGATTTAGATAGGAATGTTTTCCACCCATCAATCTTTTTAAACCTTTATTACAATGAAATTGATTATATGGAACTATCATGTGAATGTTATGCAATCTTCTTGAAAGAGCTTTTTCTTTTCTTCTTCTTTTTTGGACTATTTATCAAATATGAGAGGCAAGGTGTATGCATTTTGTCATGAATACATGTTAACATGTATACGTGTTAATATATCTTGATGCTAAACACTTGCAACTTCTTATTCATCTTGGGAGCAACAATCCAAGCAATCATGTATTATAAAGGGTGTGAACCAAAATCACACCTAACTGTGCCTATGTTGTTTGGGACCTTCATGGTGAAAACATTATGTCCCATTGCCCCTTTTTTTTTGGCTTTTTTGGGAGAATGTCTTAGATTTGGTAAGGACATGAGGAGGGTGGACTCTAGATTGCATACTTGCATGTATCTTGGGTCCTTGGGCACATTGCGCCATTTTGTGTTATAGCATTAATGTTTATTGAAGGCAAATTTGGTTATTGTTTCATGTGTCCTTCAATTCTCTCAATTTGACTCTCATTTTATTGGGTTCTAACGGTAATGAGATTCTAATTGTTCCTTTGTTTGCAAAAGTTTAGATCCAATAGTGCTAACTCCTTGTAGGTTCCTCATCTAGCTCCTAGTTTTTTCGTTTTACTTCTTTTGACTCTAGCTTACTTCATCGACATGATTTTTCTTAAAATGAGTTGAATTTCACCCCCATACCTCTCTTGATGTCACCATAATGTAGTGCTTCTTCTTCATATTAATTGAGTTGGAAATTGTACGTACTTGCCCTCCAAAATTTTCAAATTTGGCTTGCCTTTTATTGGCCCATTAACAACAAAATACTATTTGGTCCTCTGTTTGTAGTGTAGGAATACCACTTCTAACTCCTATTGTGTGTTCCTCACTTTGCTCATAGAGGTTTCTTTCCTCCTTTGATTCTTACCCTTATTCTCAGGACATAATTGACTTTAAGATAATTTGACTTCCATTGCTATTTCTTTATTGCTTGTTGTCATAACAACGTCAATAGTGTTGCTGCTTCATCACAACCAAGTTAAAATGGTCTTTTATATGGTTCTCTTAGGTGAATCTCTAGGTTGTGTTTTTGCAGATTTTTTTAATTGGGGTTACTTATTATCAAGGCTTAGAAAAATCGTTAAGTGACCCGGATCGCCCCTCTGAATTTTTGATCCGGTTTAGAGGACGGGGATCCAAATTGAGTGCCTAGAAAAATTTAAAAGAAGTTGAAAAATTAAGTGCGGCTGCTCTGGCCGGTTCTCTGTTTGGTTCTCCCAAAGAATCAGCAAGAAAAGGTTAGAACCAACCCAAACTGGCTGGTTCAGTGATAATTTTTTTTTTAAATGAAAAATGTGGAACTGGTTGGTTCTCGATATTTTGCGGCATCCAGAATTGTCTGACCAATTCTCAATCTAGGTCGGCCAATTTTTATCTGGATCACTGATTTTTCAAACCTTGCTTATTATCAAGGTGCTTTCTACATAGGAATGGATGTCCTCACCGACCATGTCATTTTTTCAATAAAGGCACCTCATAGAAATGAAGAATTCTTTATGGATGTGCTACAAAGTTCCTTGGATGGGGAAATTCTATTTGGTGCATTTTTCTCGTTACACTCATGCCATGTGAAATGCAATCGAGTGGATGTGTAATCATGGTAATTGTATTGGTTGGCACGGAGTAAATATCACATAGAAGGAATGTGGAAAATTTCTTAATGTAGTTCAATTTTCACGATTTTGTCAGCTACATCTTTATTTGGCTCTTTGAATTTTGTCATCATTCCCTTACGAGACCAAGTTAAGAAGTCTATCATTTTTCTAAATGATGTAACCTAGTTACCTAGTATCATGGACTTCATTTCTATCTATCATTTAAGTGATTTATCAAGTTGTTGTGAACGTCGATTTTCGTTGAACAGACTTGATAATGGCAAAAGGGAAGTTTAGGAAGAAGCTTCAAAAGAAGGGGCATGGCGGAACACCAATAAACCCCACTGCGAAGATTTCTAAAAAGGCCCTAAAAAAGATGCCCACCCCCAAGAAGCCTCAGAAGAATGATGCGGCTGTTGATGTGGGAGAAGGGGCCATTAAGTCGCAAGGAGAGGCTAGTGGAAAGATCTCTGGGTTCATTTTCATGTGTAATGCGAAGACGAAGGCTGATTGTTTTCGTAACCGTGTGTTTGGCCTTCCTTCAAATAGGAAAGAAGATGTGGAGGCTATTAAGCCTGGCACAACGTTATTCTTGTATGACTTTGACTTTAAGCTTCTTTATGGGATTTATAAAGCTACTTCTCCTGGTGGCATGAATTTGGAGCGTGGGGCCTTTGGTGGTGCTTTTCCGGCTCAGGTAATCACTATGTTGTTGTAATTTGCTTCCATACTTTATTTTGACTTGGGGCACGTAGATCCGAACCATGTAGGTATTGGATGATAATAATGAGTTTGGGGGTGTTGTAAGTACATGCTATTATGCAGGGATAGACCCTCAATCATTGGGTATCGAGGAGGTTGCACTTGTCCACCTATGTTTTTCAAGGGCAAATTAAGTTATGTTCAATGATGCAAATTTTTTATTGGTTTTTATGAGCATGTAGATAGGCTTTTGCACAATATTTTGAATCTAAATTTTATATTGAGACATGGATTTGGTGAGTAAGCCAACATTCTATGCTAAACGACTGGAAGCGATATTGGAGCTTTGCTTCTTCAAAATTGAAATCTCCATCCTTGTTCACAAATCTTTTATGAAAAATTATTGCAAAGCAATTTGGGTGGCAAAACTAGTAGCCCACAACATTAGTGTGATGGAGATGACATGGTGATTTATATGAATGCTTCTTTTTGTTATACTTGTGATTGTTTATATCAATTTTGTGATAAAGGCCATGCATTAGGGTGCATTATTATCATGTTGGTATATGGTATAAGATCTAGAAAATCATTGCAAGATCGTTAGAGTCTTGATAAGGAATAGTTTTGAAATGATGATGATGCATTGTAGTGTGATTTAAAACATTTTGCCACAATTATTGTTTTTGTCAATTGAACTTTTGATACACCAATCCCGTTAAGGTGCATATAGACATGGATATATACTTGGAAAAAACGGAATGGGTCTCGAGGGGGAGAGGATCCCATATTGAGTCTCAATCTTATTAAGGGCACTAGTACCTTTGCAGTGGAGGACTCATGAAACTTGTTTGGCTTCAAGAATGTTCTTTAAATGGTCTTGGTTTTCGAAGCACCCTTCCATCTTGTGAAAGGCCAACATGTTCTTGCAAACTAGAATAATGTTGAGTTTTATGGTCTCAACCGAAGTGTAGGGATATTTTGGCCACAATTTGATGGGTTTCTTTGAATGAATGGCAATCGTGATTCAATTGAGCGTGAAATCTTGGGCTTGCATTCTCTAGAATGTAGGAATGCCTAAAGCTTATGAGATAACCACATCCTTGGTCCTCAAACTTGCAGTGGATGGGCACCGTGGGCTTGACCTGTTTGATTTATGTGAACGAAAGGCAATTGCAACACGATGATGAAATTCGGGTCTCGGACTTCAGGATGCAAAGAAGACTAAAATCCAAAAGTTATTCCCTACCTTGGTCCTCTTTTGAAGCATAGTTGGGTGCGTTTTGCTACTTAGAAAATCCTCTTGTTTCTTCTATTGTCCACACAATATACTTGGCTGGGAAAGGGGATGGGGAGAGTTTCTAGTTGGAGTGGTCTCAAAGTGGGGACATTGAAAAAGGAGAATGAAATGACCTCATTGAAGAAGTTGCACAGACATTGAAACGGAGAATGAAATGACCTCGTTGAAGAAGTTGCACGATTATCATGTGCTTAAACAATATGATCACAAAGTCGTGTAATGCAGGACAAAGTTTAGACACCAATAACTCACAATGGCTATCTCTTGTCCCTTTTCTCAGGAACCTTCAAAACAATGGGCAGCAAGCTGCCCTCTAACCCTCACCTTGTAGCCTTCTTGCATCAATATTAATGGATCACCAATTGAGTGATCTTTGGGGATTGGGATGGTAGATATGTTTGATTGGTCTTCATATTGGACCGGAGTGTCACTCTCTTCTTTGTTCCCACATTGCCAGCCCAAAATATGGGTGACCTCTTCAAATCCCTGATGCCCTAGGCCTAGAGGATGATGTAGGACCAATTTAGTTGGATCTCAGATGAGTGTATTAATCTCAGGTAGGCTTTTATCTAGGCAGTTTGGGGGCCTGGTGCCTAGGCATTGCACCCGCTTAGACGGTCCCCTAGGAGCACGGGTTTGGCTACCACAAATGGATTATTGGGGGCCAGGGAGTTCTTGGGGCAGGGGTTTAGGCCCCATGGGGAGTTCTTAGGGAAATTTTAAGCAATGTTTAAAAAACAGTCCGCCCGTCCCCTAGGGACCCGCTTAGGCGGCGTAGACCAAAATACTGCACGCCCAAACCTAGGCGGCCCTACGCGGGCGGATGTACCTGGGTGGGCGTCGAGGTAGGCCAGGCGAGCGCCTAGGGACATGGCTTTTTTTTTTAAAAAAAAAAATACCCAAAAGGGAAAATGAGTTAATTTTGAGGTTTAAATAGGTTATGGGGGTTATTTTGAACCCTCAAAGTTAAAAGAAAAATTCCATAAACCCTCAATCTCTTAGCTATACCTGTTTTTTGAGAATCAAAAGTATTTTTTGTGGTTTGAAGAACCTTCCTAACCTTTTCACTTATTATGAAATATGGAGAGTTGGGGACTATTACTAATACATATCCTATTAGACTTTTCAAATTTTGTGTGGTTTGAATTTTGAAATTTTGAACAAATTTATTCTCAACATGCGATGTCATATTTTTGTACATAAAAAAATATGTTACAATATTTTCAAATGTAATAAATTCTAAAATTGACACACACACACACACACACACACACACACACACATATATATATATATATATATATATATATATATATACTATATATACTACATAACTTGTACAACAGGGCGCCTGCCTAGGTGCCCGCCTGGGCGTTAGGCGCCAGGCCGTCCGCCTAGCGTTTTGAAACCTTGGTTTTAAGGCCCTATAACTCTTGAAAATCAATAAATAAAATTATAGACATCATCATTTATGACAACAAAACTCGAAGTATATATTTCATAAATTGATTAAGTAACCTTAAAAAATTAAAGACTCAAAGCATGATGTCCACTGCCCACATGTGGTGTACTCAACCGGAGATCTTTGACTGCCCAAAGCCCTCTTTTCGACCACTCCATGCTCCAAAAAGTATTGTGAAGTATATTTTTCGATTTCGCAAGAAATAAAGAATGTTTAAATGTTTTTTCAATCTTGGTAGAAATCTAAATATATTAGATTTTCACAATTTTTCATTCTCTAAAACACATATATAGGGTTTGGAGGGCTGGATTCCCCCCCCCCTAAAACCCTCATCTTATGGGAGGAAAATGTCTAAGATGCCCTTGGTTGAGGGTTTATTTTTGCCATCAGCGAGGGTGCATCGAGACGGCCCCTAGGCACCTAGAAGCCAGATGTTTAGGAAGTCCACCTAGGCACCTAGAACATTGCCAGGTTCCATTCATAGTTATTCGGATCAGGAGCGGGGCTTGGTGCGGGGGATTGTGAAATGTTTGAAGATCCCTATGGTTGGGAGCCATGTCCATCCAATGCATATGTTACTTTAAGGGTTGGAAACACAACCCTTTTTGGGTTCTTTATCCCAATCTTTTTTGGGATCTTGCTCCCAATCTTAAAGAAATTTATATTCTTGGATTATATGTACTCCTTAAAGTACGGATCTCAAAGTATAGTTGTGTTGCTAGATGACTAGATATAAAATAAAAAAAATCATAAGTTTGGTTGTTATCTTTCTTTTTAGGGTTGGGATTGGATCCCTAATACTAGGAATTGGGCCTTAATGGTGGGGATTGGGATCTCAAAATTTAAAAATTGAGATGTCTTGAAGTTCTATTTCCCAGAGTGCTGGAGCGTGATTCTGGGGTGGGATTGCTCCCAATGTTCAGGGATTCTAGCAACTATGGTTATGTTTCCTAGTTAGTACTTTAGGAGTCTTACTTGTTCCTCTTAGAAATACAGGTCCTAGGAGGTTTAGTATTTCAAAATTTATGGGACAACAAGGTTTTGATGGTATCATGGTCTCCTAGTTCAAATGGTATTAGTAAGGGATTTCAGGTTTTAAGATTGAAAGTAAGGTGATTAGGTTAGACATGATTTGGGAAACAACGAGGGTTATGTTTAGAGAATGTCAAGGGGTTCTTCTATTTGTTGCAAATTTTGAGGTCCAGCCAGGATAATTGATGGCTTTGAAGGGAGGAGGCCATTTGGGGGCTAATTTATGGGGCTTAGGGGTATGGATGATGGGTTTGCAAAGGACATGGGCTTTGTTATTTGGGCTTGGGAAAGGGATGATTTGGTGAGGTAGTAGACAGGTGACGAATTTGGTTGGGGAAATTTAGAAAGGGAAGAACCACATAAAAGTGGAACGAAAGATCTTAACTCATTGGGAATATTGCTTGGGATAAGGGGTAGCTACTAGGTTTTCATAACACAACATCTCAAGTTCCATTTCTATGTAATCTTGTAAAAAAAAAGAAAAAACTCATTGGGAAGATTCCCAAACTTGAGTTAGAGTTGTGGGAATCACTCCCTTTACAAAAATAGTTGAGCAATCTCACTTTAAAAAGTAGCCTCACACTAAAATAGAGAACTCAAATTTTATTTCTCGACTTGAATATGGATTGGGAAAATTTGGAACTACACAAAAAATGGAAAAAAGATCATAACTTGTTGGGAAGGCACCAATCGTAAGCTAAAGTTATAAGAATCAGTGAATCGCGCCCTGTACATTAATGTTAAGTAATCTCACCTTTAAAAGTGGCCTGCCACTACAATTAGAAACTCAAATTTTATTTTTCTACTTGAATATGAATTGGCCATAGGCCTATGTTGGTCTTTATAGAGAGTTCCAAGTTATGATTAGTGATTTAAAAAGCGGTCCGCCCAACACTTGGGCAGCCGCCTAGGCGGTCTAGAAGGCGGCCAAATTAGGTTGGATATCCCTGGGTGCTCAGAACCTGCCTAGGTTTGCGCCCAGCCCAACCCAACCGTGGGCGGCCGTCCGCCCAACCAAGGGCGGAAATGCCCCTTGTTGAGGGCATTTTTGGTCATTTTTTTTAATACTTTAGGGGAAAAATTAAGGGGTTTAGGTTCATTTGAAACCTAAAACCCATTAGAGCTTATTTTAGAGGGAGAAAACCGCAAAAAAACTAGTTTTTGGTGATTTCCATAGGATCGAAGGGTTTTTCAAAAACTACTGGGCCGTCCACGTTTTGGGCACCCGCCAAGTCAGTGGGCGGCTTGGACCCCCCCCCCCCCCCCCGGCCTGCCTAGCCTAGTGCTTTTTGAAATGCTCGTTATGGTAGCCTTTTATTTAGACTTTTAAAAGCATTAACAATAAACTCTTAATACTTTTGGAAACTATCTACTCAAGGGTTTCTGATCCAACTTGGGAAGCACACACACATTTGGAGCCTTACTTCCTAGAAACCTGAGTGAAGCAAAAATTCAAAATTCTAGAAATATTTTATTGAGATGTTATTCAAACACAGTAGTAAGGACTCGATAATGATAAGAATGATACCTAACACAAAAATAAGCCTCGTCACTTCTACACATGTAAATAAAATTCGTCACTTCTCCATCTAGATTTCAACCACAATTTGAATCACAAAAACCCATAATGTGGGTTGTCGATCTTGAAGCGATATTCAATCTACGCTTTAAGATCACCCTGAAGCCTGAACAGACATCCAGGTGAGGAATCATACCTCTAGGAAGTGGTTTACATCATTCTGCCCTAGTTGGTGAAACTTTACCTGAAGTTTTGAAGTGAGATTGAGTGGTTCCCACATTGAATCCATTGTCTTCCTTAGTTCTTTATTTTGTTGCTCTGGAAAGTTAAAATGATCCTGATTTGATGTGAATATTAATTTGTTTGAGAGCTCGAGAAAAGGATCAACATATGCTGAGCGAAGAGTCAAGAATAAAACATCCACTTCATTCAAGTTTCCAATCTTAATTTCTATGCACATCCACACAGTGTTGTTTTTATTGGGAATGAGGAGGTCATGTACTGGACATGTGCCTATGTTGTCACAAATAAACCCCTTGATCAAAAGTTCTTCAACTTTTAAGCCAAACTATGGATGCTCTGTGTGATTCATGCGATATTTGGGTGTCTCTCAAAAGAGTAGCTCTAGGAATGAGATCTATGGCACCTTGAATATCTCTCATGGTTGGTAACTCATTGGGGACCTCATTTGGTACCAAATTTGAGAAGTATGAGAGAATGACCTGGGGGGATAGTCATTTCAGCTAGCTTCTGGTTGGGCTTGACTTCTCTTTCAACAAGCACTCCAATTACCCTACCCTCTTGATGTTCTTCCAGAAATGACCTGGGAGTTAGAACATCGACTTGCCTTTGAAAGAGATTGTCTCTCTCAATAAGTTTTTATCATCATCATCATCATTTGAGCTTTATCTCAACTATTTGAGGTCGGCTACACGAATCGCCATTCGACTCTATTAAGGGCCATATTAAGGTAGACCATAAGTCACTATATCACTTCTCACTACTGTCATTCATGTCCTTTCGAGCTTATCCCTTGCCTTTTTAGAGCTTTCCAATTGAAAAGAACTCCCAAAATAAAAATTGCGTATGTGTGTTTTGACTGAGGCTTTACGTGTAGGTAAGGTTCAAGATTGTGAAGGACTGCTTGCCAGTTCATGAGAGTGCATTCAAGGAAGCTATCGTCGACAATTACAACAGCAAGTATAAGTTCAAGCCCGAGCTTAGCCCTCGACAGGTTTGTTCAAGTTTTATTTTTAGATATTAGGGTGACAGCCACAATGTGACTCCAAGGGCAATTCCTGCTGGGTAAAATGTCTAAAAAATAAAAAATTAGCAAATCAGTTCTTTATATGGAAATCACACTCCTGGTCAGTTAGTTCGATGTTATTCTGAAAAATGGTTTTTAATTAGTCAACTCCTCGTTTCTGATCTAGAAGAAGGGAAGTTATCATTGTTCTGCATTTAAGTATTTATCCATGCTATCCAATTATTGGTTTTGGTTGATGCTGGTTGCTGTGTTTGGGAATACACCCCGCCCATGATGATGGTTCACTAGTATAAAATTCCTCTGGATCTCAAAACTAGAGATCCAGACTAATTGACTAGATTTTTCTACAAATTTTACCCACGTCATGAATTTTAAAGTTCTAAGTCGTGCTGGACTTTTTGAGGTATAGATTATTTAAATACACTGTATTTCTTCTCAAGGGGAACTGTGGATATGCACTGTAGCTCAGATGGTGATTAATTCTGTTAGAACTGCAGTTATGAACTGCGATATCATATTGAGAATGGATATAATGCCATAAACAAGATGTATCGATCTGTGTGCATGATTCTGTAATATAAAAAAAAAAAGGGCGGGGGGGAGGGGTGGTGGATTGGGTCTGTGTCAGTTGGAGCGTCAAGACCAGGCTATCATAATCCCACTGCTAAACCAATGCGACATAAATCAAAAGGATATGGATGAATTGAATGTGGGTCGCACCAATGGTGGTGTGGGATTTGTTGGAGTATTTTATTCACCGTCTATTGTTGGGCGGTGATGGCTTAAGGATTTTAGTCTTTCCACAGTCGCTAGGAATATAATATACTTACCTGAGAGGTTTCACATGGGAAGCTTTCCTGTTCTGTTGACATGCTATGTCATGAATTTGCCAAAATTTGATTTTGACTTTCTATTATTATGAACAGGTTAAGCATCTTTCAAGGCTCTTTCGCCGGGTTCCCAAGCCTCAGGACCAGGCTTATGGGCCCCCACCCAGGCCCATTGAGGAAATCCATAGGGCACCAGTGCCCCCTCTTCCACCTCGTGAGATCTATGCTCCCCCTCAAACTCTAGCCCTAGACAGGGACCGACCAAGATACCGACATGTGACCGAGCTTACCCCGCGTGAGCTGCCAAGGCTCGAGTACCGCTCTCACCGAGAGAGCTATCGGCCTATGGTTTCTGAATACATGAGGTCAAGTGAGCCCCAATATGTGGGCCTTACCCAACCTGAACCGCGCTATGTGAGACTGAGCGAGCCTGAGACCCGCTATGTGGGCTTCAGTAATGGACCTCGATATCCTGGGTCTGTTGGGCATAGCGGTGCATCTATGGAGCGTGAAATGGTGGTGGGAGCGTATTTGAAGCCAGGGTATGGGGGTTCGGTGTATGCTGATTCATTGTACAGGTCAAGGGTTGCTGAGATAGGGAATGCAGCACCAGTTTCATCGCATTATACATTCGCAGGGTCTTTGCCTAGGGGCCGGTGAATCGAGGAACTTGGTTTTTTAGGTATGGCGGAGTTTCCTTTGCCATGTGAATCTTACATGGAGATGTGAGAGATTGGTTGTGATGATTTGGCTTTGTTGTATACCTTTACTTGATGGGTTGATCAGTGGGCTTGTTGCTCTGTCTCTCTCTCTTTCTCTTCCCTCCCCTCCCCTGGTTTCACTACGGGACTGAAGCTAGAAACCAGGGGAAAAAACAGTTAACTTGGTCTTGTACGAACCGTGTTTGATGTTCCTGTTTTGATAAAACATAACTTTGAATATCAAGATGTCTGATGCCCGGGATAAAGGTTTAGCCTTCAGATATTCGATGTTCCTTTATGATTAGAATGTGTTTAGTGTCGGATAGTATAGCTGTATAAGAATCTTAATTTTTTTTTATAAAATCCAATTATTTGGAAAATAAAACTAGAATTTCTGGGGGTAACGAGAAGAAATACCCTTTTTTCTAATAAATTTGAACGTCCCTAACCTTTTTTAAAATTCTTAATAACTGTGATGCTCTAACATGTTTTATAGATAACAGTAATAATAAACAGTCATTGACCACTGTTATGATGATTAAAAGTTCTTTGGACCATCACAGCACTGATAGTTTCATTCAGTCTCTGTGATGGTTTATAAAATGCCTGTTTAGGCATGTGAGTAGAACTGATAGTATCGTTCAGTCTCTGTGATGGTTTATAGAATGCATGTTTAGGCATGAGTGGGACCGTCATGGTTCTTCTAATGGAAATGTGAAGGGTATTTTCAAAAAAAAAAAAGAAAATTTAGAAAGTTGAAAAATAGGCTATGCTAGTGCTCTTGTTTTCTCACCACTTGGTTTTTCTCCTTGAAATCTCTGTAAGATACGTTGATTAAATTCAGAAGTGGAAACCTTGGAGATTCAGGTTTTAGGCTGTGATGGAATTTTGATGTTTACGCGAAAATGATGCCAAACAAATTTCCAGCTCTCTCTCACACACACACACACACGTGTGCATGTATGTGTTTGCACAGGCTCCTCTTACTCTCTCATATATATTGACTGGCACCGGCGCACCTGGATCAACTGTCGATAGTCACCCTTGAGGAAGTCCTAAACTATTTCTTCTCAATTCTGTGACCAGCAAGACTACTACGGTTATTTGGATATTCTATGTAGGCCTCTTGAGAGAAGAGAGGGATGGAGATCGGGTGCGCGGGAGAGCGTTCTGCCCAAGAATCAACCATCTCTCGAAGCACTTTCAAGAAATATTCATGGCCAAGGTGTTTTTTTCCTCTTTCCATGATTCTTCCCCTGTGACTAATTGGGTAATTGAAAAATCCCACGACTTGGAGCAAACAAGCAAAAACTTCAACGTGAAATTAGGGCTTCAGACGATGATTTCTCGGGTTTTGGAAGTACTTCGAATTATAAAAGGTCATCAACTGAATGCCATTCCTGTTGATTTGGATTATGGTAAGAAGTACTTGAATTATAAAGGTCATCAACTGAGTGCTAGTCCTGTTGATTTGGATTATGGTATTAATGAATCAATTAAGTAACCGGAAGAGTCAAAGTGCAAAGAAAGAGCCTGAGAAGTTGAAAGCTGGGATGTTTGTTCATCAAGAGGCTTGGGTACATTAGAGCTGGGATCTCTGATTGGCTCGAGGGAACTAGGGATATGGCTCCATATCTTCTTCTCGAAAATATGTGAGGAAGAGAAAGGATGCATTGAAGAAAATCAGGATAGGTGAGAGAATGAGGGTACAACGACACATGGGTTTTTAGCAAGACGAGAGAGAAAGAGAAAGCCAGGGAAAAGGGCATGGGGCTTCCAGCAGGAGAGTAAGGGATAGAGAGAGGCAGATAAAAGGGAAGGCATTGGTTTCAAGAGATGGAGGAAACTTAAACAGGGTGTAGAGAGCTCTTGTAATGGAGCATGACAAAGAGTATGGCCTTGCTCAGGTTATTCTGGTTTGCCACATAATGTTGGCTTTAGGGTAGAAATGAAGCTTTGAACATGAAATTACAATACTTATTATCCTCTTGAAAACATAGGTAATCCATCATTGAAATTGCCATAATAATCATAATTATGGTGAGATTTCGGGCTCTGGTATTTAACCGTGACGGAGGTGAGTAGAGCTACTTGTTAGTGAAACCATGCTGAAAAAATTAGACTAGAACTCAGCTTAGCCGAAGCTGGAACTTAGAGAAGTCTGTTAATTATGGCCAAAGTTTGCAATGTGATAGATTCTTATGTGAAAATATTTCCTCCTCCTTGGGGGAAAGTACATGTTATGGATATTTTTTGGATCTCAAAATTTGGGGATGGAATGTTTACTGCCCGTAGAACGATTGGTTGAAAAATAAGAGGGCTGGAGTATATAGTGATGAAGTAAAGTGAAGAAAGAAATAAAGGTGGACTTTCCTGTTTACCATCACCCTAGACGCACTATCTAGAGACATAATTTACCCATTTACTGTAAAATATTAGTGTACAAAAAGGTAACGCGGGCAAATCAGCTCTTGGGATATTTGGAAACAGAAAGTCACAATAATACTTACTTATAACTGTATGTTAGAGGCACTAACTAGACTTTCTTCAAAAAAAGTTTCTCAAACTTTGTGGCAGGTCTCAAGGCATCTAATGGCTAGGAGTAATTATATCCTCCTTCTAACAAAGATAAATGGCCTCATAGTATACATGACCTTTGACAAATTAGTGTTCATTGGGCAACCAAAAGAAAACTTCATATGGCAGAATTTTGGCTCTTTGCTGCGAATTCTTTGGAAATTTCATTCAAAAGTTAGTCCTTTTTGTAGGGAGGTCCTTTTTTATAGAGCACGTATACTATGCTCCCTTGGGGGCTTAGTTTACCTCTACTTCTTGATCAAAAGACTTAGTTGGGATATTTTTTCACTATGAAATTTTGGAAGCCACAAGCATTACAGGATAATTATTCTTAGAAAAAAAAAAATTGAGATTTGAGTTTTTTAACACTTGAATCTCTCTATTTAAAATTAGATGATCTCTATTCAATTTCACAACATTATTTTTTTCAAATGCAGAAAAAGTACCAAACAGATTTTTTTTATTCAGGATAATATATGGTTGAAAAGGTTATATCCCCCGGTTCTAAAATTAATTCCAGATAGAAATTTTATCCGAGGGAGAAATAGACATTCTACTACAAAAAATCTTTATTCCTTTGCAGCAGCTGTATTGAAGCAAGCGTTGAGATTTGGTAAAAAAGGCTTGACACGTGTCACAAATGTATTTGATCAAGTTACAAAGCAGATAGGGGAGGCGATATTATCCATGTAATAAATGAGGTCAAAAATCGCCTAGGGGAATTTTGATTGAACTTGTATAACGCTTAGGCTTTATGTAAATAACGTAAAGCCTCACCTCGAATCTTCATCCAAAAAGCATTTTGGGTATTGAAAAATGATGAATTTAAAATCGATTTTCAACACTGAATATAAAATTTGACGTTTAAGGAATAATACAGATACGTGGATATGTGAATACTTATTTTTAAGGTAAAATAAACAGTCTAGATAATGTGTTATAATATACTCTATTTTTAGAACTTGAAATCAATTTAAAAATTTTCCAATGTGAGAGCTTCAATTTTTAGTAAGTTTTGAAGTGAGGCTTTGTGTCCCAAAACATTTTCCTTTTTCATAATTTTGGCTGTTCTCAATAAGTTTTGGGTGCGAAGTTTCCAGGAGTTTGAGGATTGGTCTAATCCGCTGATAAACAGAAAGACGGACTTGGTTGAGTTTCTAAGTTGATTTTAACACAAGCAAATCCTTGGTTCTTCGCAGATTGAGCTTAAACTCCCTATGCTCTGTTTAAGTTGGTTTGAAACACCAATCAATCAAGTTCAAATCCAACTTATAATAATCAGGAAAAAGTTTATATTAGATGTTAACCTTATACGGTGCAAATAAAGTTCACCTCATAACTCCTTGAAAAATGTTGGTTCGTCATTAGAACCAATTCACATATTCAACCAATTCACATATATGAATATGAAAGAAAAGTTGAATTTCAAGTAATAATAATAATACATCTTGTAACACATTATTTAGACCGTGTATTCTCCAGATATTTAAGTGTTCATAGATTTTCTAAATATACACTATTTTTAAAGCTTTCCATTTTATAATAAGGGTGAAAAATCCAACTTTCATTTTATAACGAGATTGTGAGGTTAAGGTTGACACTTTATACAAACCTTAATCATTAACTCTAATGATTAAGACATTTTTGGAGGTTGACACCTTATACAAACTTTATCCTAATGATTAAGATTAAGACATAAAACTAGTTTGAAAATACGAGGTTTTTGAAATTTTATCAAATCGTGAAATTTACTCAATTTTCTATTTTGGTTTTCTTGGCTTTTCATCAGTTACGTGAATATTTTACGAGTACAATTTTCTATTTTGACTTTCTTTTTTATTTTTTTTGTTGGATGCATCCTATCTAAGTTTGACGAGAAAAATATATTTCTTTTTTATTCCAGGATGTATTTTCTATAAGGATTAGGCTTTATGAAAACAAATTAAAGCCTCGCCTCGAAGCCTCATCTAGAAAGCACTTTGGACATAGAAATATCCGTGATGGCTCTAAAATCAATTTCTAACACCATTTCGAAATTTGAAGCTAAAAAAAAGGTATAGATCTTGTGGATATGTGAATACTTATTTTTAGGGCAAAATACAGTTTAGATAATGTGTTATAATATACATTATTTTTAGACTTTGAAATCTTATTTTTTTTTTTTGTAACTATAATGTTCAGGGCCGAGACGATTGATTTGAAGGTCTTTTGATGCTAGAACTGTAATTTAGGTGAAGATTTACCTTTATTCAAACGGAATTGCATAATGCTAAAGAGCAGGACCCACCAACGAGTTTCATTGGGCTACTTCGCTACATAATGGTTCATCAATAAGTGAAACAGCCCTAATATCTAATTTTGGGTTTACTTGTTCATGAAAACTTAAATTACAAATAAAAACCATATATAATTGTACGCATGTTGCAAAGAGACTTACAATGGATTCACTTAGAAAGGTAATATGAATCAACCTTGTTAGTTATTTATTTCCTCTTTGATAATATATATATATATATATATATATATTTTTTTTTGAACATTATCTTTGATAATATTCTCAATATATTAGACTACTGTTATTTTCGTGGTTCTTTAGCCATTTGAATCCATGAAAACTGAATTTCAGACACTTATGTTCACTTCGAAATTTAGCAGAGTTTATCTCACTAGAATTTGAGTACGTGCTCAAGTTTCCTTGAAAACTCTCTTACCATTTTACAAGCTTCAGTAGATACCCAAGTTTCTTTGAAAACTCTCTTACCATTTTAATAACAGTTTCAGAAGATGCCCAAGTTTCTTTGTTTCTTTGAGAAATATCTTAACATTATTACATGTTTGCAAACTGAAAGTGAAAGCCAATCGACCTCTCTTCCATTTTGACAATTATCTGAATTGTCAATCACATATATTGATCAAAATGCATTTTAGCCTTGATTCATCGATTAAACAAATATAGCATTTTGATTTTAATCATCTTCTTTCATTCTTAATATTCTCTAGGCGATCTTTGCCGACCTAGACCAGGCATCTGGTCTAGATCTATGTTCAAAAGTTCAGTTGGAGGTGCCTAAAACAACTTCTGATATATTAGAAAGTGGTACCTACTGAACTTCCTGATATTCTAGAAGTCATTGAGGTCCACATATATTAGGTGCAAGGAAATGAATATTATGCATATTTTTTTCTACATACGTGAGAGAGAATGATCAAAAGTTTTAAAATCACATTCTTCAGATATAAAAGACAACCATGCCTGGAAAATGCGCTTGTGGCTTGAGCTATAGTTGTTTCATAATCTTTCTGTTGCTTATAAGTATGAATAATCATAATAAAGAGCAATCTGTTGCAAAACCTGTAAAATTTGATCACCATATGCCCATATGCTATATTATATTCAATTTAAAATATGATAATTATAAATGAGCTACATTATGTTTTCATTTACTTTAATTTGGAACATTTTTTAACATCTAGGTCGCTATTGAAGAAATAGTGAGAAAATATATTATGACTTTTGATTTTACTGAAAGTATGGCTATTAATGGAGAAAAATGGAGGTACTTGATTCAGAGAGCCAACCCCAAATAATTGGAATCAGACTTGGATACTGATGATGTTGCTATTGAAGAAACTAATTTAAATTTTTAACTACTTCATAAATTGCCATCTTTTTAGTGTTTTTTATCTAATATCAAAACTGTTATATACATGACGAAAATGTGATTTGAAAATATGCAATGCTGTATTGACATAGTAGGTTGCATACTGTTTGAGGTAGTCTTGTCAAATTCTCTACGTTGTCGATGGTTGAAAACAGCTATTCGATTGTTCATTTCATGTTGCCTTGTGCATGTGCATATTTATATGTCATCAGTATTGTAAAGCATTATTGTTATCATCATCATAGCCTTTTTCCAATTAACTAGGGTTGTCGTTTTTTTCTTGTATCTACAATGCGGGTTTAAATAAATCAAACTCTTCCCAATTTGTTGGGAGATATCCCAGGGTAACATTGCGCCTTGTTTTCCCATTTTTTTGCCATACAAAATGTTCATGTCTCTGCAGAGAGTAACCTAAAATCTTTATATCTGCAGGTTCAGATGTAGCTTGAGCTCATGATATCTCTCAGGAAGAAACAGTCAGATTTCTTTAATAGGATCCAATTATATGACAGATGAAATCAACTCACATCTTAGAATAGATTCCCCATGGTTCAAGAATATATCAATATTTCAGATTATACAGGCCCGGTCTAAATCTGGCTCAACAAGATGCATCTGAGGGTGAGATGATGAAGGTGTTCAATTGGCCAACATGCTTAAAATCACATGCTCTCAATAATAAATTCCAGTGCATGTCAAAGAGACCATCTCTTTGACAGAGTCGTCGAAATCATGGAAGTTACTATTTTCATCCATATTACAGCAAAGAAAAAAATTTACTTGGAGCAGTACAAAATGTCATACCCAGCCATCATCTTTCAAAAATAATGTTTTTTTTGTTTTATCCAAGAACAAAATATTTCTGCACAATGTTTTATAATCTTATTATGGATCATTTGCTTCAAATTTCTACATTTCGTAATGCTTAAATTCCTCAGTTCCTTCATTTATTGATTTGTTCATATCATTTACTGTTACATAGGAAACATAAAGCATTATTGCATGGAAAAAGTTTAGACATGGATGCTACCTTATAATGTAGAACTACGGATGCCCCTCAAAAATCCATCGGAAAAGGTAGTTTTAATGTTGAAAAACCCTTTGATTGATCATCTTGACATCGAAATGTATGACTATGAAAAATAAAAATATTTTAAGTCTCAGAAACAGTGCATTTTACAAGAGATTATCTACACCGTCCATTTTCAAGATTTTAATATGTTTATAGATCTACTTGATTTTTAACCATTTTTTAAATTTAAAATTTTATAATTAGACATAAAAATAGATTTTGAGATAATCCTAAGAACATTTTACATCAAAATTACATACCATAATAAAATTTGAAGGTGCACCTTAGACCCTTATTGCATTTCCCTTACCATACTCTTGCTTGTCTTAAAAAGTTTTTACCCTACTCCATATACTTTTGCTTACCCAGACAATATATGCATTACCTGTCTATTGCCAGTTTATATAAGGAAAAGAGTGCTGTTAGTCAGGGGAGGCAGGTCCACATATGCATCCCCTGATGGTGGTCCCTCCAAAGTCTAAAATGGTGGGTCTTAAATCAACATTAGAAAATACCAATATTTAAATTCCAAAAAATGTTTTCATATTCATATTCACTAATGTGGAGATTGTCGACCCGTAAATTTCTGGATCCATAATCTATGTCTAAGATGAAGTTTAGAGAGAGGACCCATTTAAAAAGATGAGTTGGAGGACTCATAGAATCCTTGTCTTTTATATATATATATATATAGGGAGCTTGCCAATGAATGAATGGATGCCCAAAGGAAGGAAAAGATCATAGATGCTGGTGGGAAAGTTTTCAAAGGAAAGAAGCCCAGGGGTTTTAATCTTCTCTCTTTCATGGTGAAAGGGGCGATGGATTGGGGTTTCCCATAGAGTTAGCTCCTGATCACTCTAGAGAAAGAGAGATCCTTACAAAAATTATTGCTCTCCACATATGAAGCCAATCAATTCATACATTAAATGACATTACAAGCACCGGAGACACCAAACCATGGTGAAAGGTGCAGTTAAACAGAATGACATGACTAATCCCAGACTCTGATCAGGTGCCGTAATGGTGTTCACAACACCCCCCATGATGACAACGGCTTTCACGGTCACTTTCCTGAACCATGTTCATGTCATAGTTGTCTTTATTTTGGAAGAGCATAGGGTTTAGTTGTGGGGATGGAAATAGTAGCTTGAGGCGAAAAGCATCGACACCGTTCAAATAGTACCTGAATAGCCTCTTTGCCCGTATAAACCCTAGACGACCATATAGTGCAAGAGCTCCTTTATTTGTTACTTCTGCCTCTAGAGTCACCTGCATAATTCCGTAACTTGTTATCGCATACACTGCATGAAAATCTTGTCCAACAAATTTATCCTCTCTCTCTCTCTCATATGCTACTCAGGAGGTCACATGGGGCACATGATTAAAGAAGTTTCAGTACAGAAACGATTTGGAGAAGAATCGAGAAACAGATTAGAAATAATAAAAAACAGCTGGATATGCTAACATACCTCTTCACAGCCAGACTCCATCATTACTTGAATGGATCTTGTTACAAGCTCTGTAGCTGCGGTTATCGAAAAGCACAATGCAAAATATAAGATAAACAACAATGGAGATAGTTTTAAGATTTCTTATCGAATATTTTATTTTGTTTTCTATTTTATGTAGGAAAAAACAAATTTATTTCCTTAATTTTTATAATTAGAAAACTAAGTTGTTTCTAGATAGACAGAATGGGTCAAGTCAATGAATTTTTAATGAAGAGCTACAATTGGTCAATTTATACTTCGCTTTGAACTAATTTGACCGGTGGGCATTATTTTCATACATTTTCTTCCAGCATTTGACGCATTACAGTTGTTACCTTTTGTAACAAACTCATGTTGAATCGCTGTACTTCAGTCACAAAGTTTCTTGGTATTTCAATTCCTTCATTGTTTGTTACAGATTGAAGCAGTAAAATTATAATCTTTTATGGATAAAACAAGATATTACAATACTTATCATTTCAAGGATCATCATCATCATCATCCGAGCCTTACCCCAACTATTTGGGGTCGGCACTTATCGTTTCAAGGATGACAATACGAATTTCAAGAAGAAGAACTTGTAACGAGGAGCAGTATATGCATACTGTTTAAATATGTCATGATTAATTATGTAAATGGTCGTAATCAGGGAATACTACTTGAGCCCTTTATCCAAGAAAACAAACTGATGTCACATATGGTCCTATGGGGCCCTTAGCACATTTTCATCTTGGATGTAATCTTCTAGAGAAGCTAGCTACCAAATGCAGCTCAGTTTAGCCTTTTCCTCTTGATAAATAGGTGCTCTTAGCTATTTTAAATTCACAAAGATATTAGTCTTGCAAGGGAGAAATGAAAAACTCATAAATGATGATACAAACAGGATATATGTCCTAACAAGAATACCACCATTCCCAGGAATTATTTCAAAAACAACACAAAAAACTTTTTTTTTCCCCTACTTAATCGATTCGTGTTGATATAACTGGGCACCCAAAGTACATCATCGTTCAGAATGTCCGAACTGGTTGATGGGAAAAATTGAATGGAAACTCATTGTCCTTCATCTGACATCAATAACAAAAAATCTATCCAAAACTACTATGTTTACTAAATTCATTATCAAAATGCAGGGCTTAATCTAATTTTCCAATAAAGCTTACAATTAAAAATAAATAATAGCTGGTTTCATAAAATGTAAGTGCTACAATAATGAAGTAGCATCCAAAATCTCACCAATGCCTTTCCCTCTGTAAGGTTTGATCACAACTAGCATGGCAATGTAACCTCTGAATGTATTCCTATGCTCACCCATTTTGCAAACAACAGTTCCAACACAAGTGCCTTTATGAAATGCCTGTAAGAGAAATATGCAACATTATCACTTCTCTATTAAACATATTTCCATGAATCAAAGTCATGGTGACCTTCCACAGTGCAAGGAAGTACACCACTTTTTGGGCTCAAAGAAAACAAAAAAAAGCTTATAAAAAACTATACTGAAGAAGGAACCACATAAAAAATGTACATCACGTTTAAAATGAACACTACATATTCCATAACAGAGAAATCTCTCCATAACTGTGCATTTAGGTGTCAAAATCAGAGAAAAAGATAAAATGGCTAAGATGTCATGAAATCCCATCTACTTATAAATAAAAATTTAACTTAAAGTATTCATATGTCATAATCAGGGTCTTGCAGTTATAGCCGACAATGCTTGGCTTTCTATAAAATGCAGTCCAATGTTAGCTTGAAGATAGTGCATAGCCGTATCATGGAAACCATGAGCTGCTATTTTGCCACTGGTTTGAGACTACTTCAGAAAACTACTAATGTTCAAAGAGCAAGTTTACAAATTCTCTATTTGCTCCATTGTTTTATGGAATTTAACTAATTTCTCAAGCCAAAAGCTCCTTCACCTCTCTCCTGCCCTCCCTCTCTCAGCAAGTGTGTCTAGCATCCCCGAGAGGATTCCCGGCCTAAGGCACTAAACTCAAGGAGTATTCCCACGATGTTATGATTCTCTTCATGCCATTTATTAGTATAATGTCAGGATCATTGTTTTAAATGCGAGATGCAGTACCGATATGCTTGGGAGGCCGATGCGGTGATGCGGTCTAGATGCGGATGCATCACCCCAATGTGGTCAATAAATATAAAAAACTTCTAAAAAATCTCAAAAAAAGGTTAATGCATGAAGAAATATGGAGGTGATTTATGTGATAGTAGGTATTTAATTTATTCATTAATTTTAAAAGTATCAGCTGTTGGGGATTTTGAATCCACTATTCCCTGATAGATTATAGAAGACATTAGAAAGTAGAAACAAAAAATTTGAAACTAACTTTATAGAAGACAATAGAACTTAGAAGACAATATCAATATCTTCTCAGCCCTTGAAACCCTTGATATGCTGTCAAATCTTCGCTCAAACTTCCTCAAATCAACACCCAAACTTATCTTAATCAACAAGCAAAGATCCACCAAGACAACATCAAAACTTTTCTCACAAATAAATTTCCTCCTTTCTTTTTTTTTTTATCGATTAGATGGAAAAGAAAGCCATGAAAGTTGCTGTTTTTGCTGTTTTGGGGGGTTCAATACCCCCCAAACCCTTTCCCCTCCTTTTCGAGGGGGGCAAAAATATCTAAAGACCCCTTTTTGAGGGGTTTTTTTCAATCACGCTGTTTAGGTGCATATTCAGTGCGATACGCTATGTGGCATATGCAGTGGGATGCGGCGCACATGCGGACTTATCTCACCAAAGCGCATATGCACTGTTTTGAGATGCGCCTCTAGCGCATACCGCATGATGCCCCCGCATATGCAGCGATGCGGCTGCATTTTAAGACAATGGTCGAGATATTGCTTAAAGTCATGTATCATAAACTTGTGGGAAAGCCTGCTTTTTCCTTTCAAAATCGGTTTTGCAGAGGGAGGCCCAGTCTCAGGTTTGTTTGATTAGACTTCAAAAGTAGGGTTCTGTTGACTAACCATTTACAACACTGAAGAATGATCTTGCCTAAAACGCCGCTTTTATGTAGGAGAGTGGAGGAGACTGACCATTTTTTCATCGAATGAAACTATAACTGGCAGGTGTGATCAAGTATGCACCAAATCTTCTTACCATGTACAGAGCGCGTACAGCATACTCTCACGAGATCATAGCATACCCTGACTCCCCCAGGAAAAAGACCTCCTTAAGAGGATCTTCTTGATCGGAAATTATCCTCTTTAGAATCACTAGATGAGTCCTCCCCTCCTGAACCCCCCCCCCCCAACAACACCAAAAAAAAAAGACTTTTAGTTCCTAAACATTTAGCTGACCATCTAAAGATTGGGTGGTCTCTATTCAATATGAAGTGTGTGTAGCAATATTATTTTTGAAATTTTGTGGATTTATTGCTAGGTTGAGGAGGTTATATCCCCAAAATTTGGGGTCCTAGAAATTCTCCTTGCTAGGGTTTCATCTGAGGAAGTAAATGTTCATTATGCTCCCAAGAAAATATAATCTACTAGCACATGTAAGTACAAAATTATACACTATGATATGATCTATATAAAACTAGTGATACGCCAATAGAAAAACCTATAGTAACATATACCCAGAAAATAATGAATGTTTTTTAACATAAAGCGAGAAGATCTAATATGATAGAAACCTAGAAGATGACATCTGATAGATCCAAAAGAAAACATCTATAGAACTAGGGAAACTAACAGAAAACTTTCTTATTTTGAACATTTAAAATATACAGAACTGCCATTTAATTTTGATTTTAAAATAGGATTTTTCATACATTTTCCATATAATGAAGATACACATCTTGATGCTTTATATCATAATTTACGAATTGTATAAGCTGTAATTATTGGAGTGTTTGATAGAACAGTCGTATCATTTCATGTGCCTTGGATATTGAGAAATTCTGAGCCATATCCTCGCTCACCATATTCGTTTTCATATATGTATCCATGTCTGGGCATCTTAGGGTGCCTTCCATTAGTCTTCATATCCCTTTAATTTCCTCATAGATCATAATATATGGTCTTTTAATTATCCAAAAAGATCTTCTCAATACCCATCTTGGGTTTCTATTACAAGTGTCAAACAATATTACTTGGATTTCTCCCGAATTAGCTAGCTTAAAGCATAAAGGTGCTTAGTGGTACTTACTGTGGATAGTTTAGGGCGATATACCTATATGGCCTAGTTGAATGGGATAATAAATGTGATCATTTGATTCTGAATCAGCGTATAACAGAATCAGCATAAAATTATTTTCACAATGAGAATGCCAATTCCGAAATCAGCCTCTCTTTTAATTCTCCATCTAAAATCTTGGCTTATTTAGAAAAAGAAACTGCTACATGATTTTATTAAATTGATGCATATGCAGTCCACAAATATTTAAATCAAGCATAAAATACACTATTAAATTTGTTGTTGCTATTTTTTTTGAGGAATGTTTGTTATTTCTTTCGCAAATGAAGTCATTGTATTACTGTACACATTTCAGTAGAATTTCGGTTTACTTATGATTACGCTCTTGCTTATCATACAAGTAAACTCATAAACCAAATTCTGAATTCGGATGGAAAACATATGACATATCTTTACCATTTATAAAAAAAATCACAAATGGCATATAAAAGGTTTAAAATCATCAGTCATGTATTGGGTTTTCCCTTATTCTGGGAATAGACATGAAGCTAGAAATGTAAAGTAAAATGGTGACACAAATAATAACTTCCTCATCGGAGTGTCTTACGAAGATGCTTGGATTGATTGAAGAAATACAATTTTTTTTGAGAATTGGATTGATTGAAGAATGTTTCCATTTAAAATTTTAATTGCAGCTAGTACACTTCTCATACGCTCTGTCACTTACGCATTAAGCTATCAAGTTTACATATAGATGGTCTCATTTCTCACTGAACTCACAAACTCATTATTCAGATGAATGCCTAATCCTCATGAATGCATCTCTTTTGAAGAATCACTCTGATAGTTATAAGAATTGAACTTTTTGTTATGAAAGGTTGTAACATAAAAACATTGTACAAAGCAGATTCCGATAATACACTTTATTTTTACCAAATCATGAAGTTTTAATTATCTTTTGATTCAACACATTATGAAGATGGTTATTTCTGCAGATGACATTAAGCAACACTTCTTCATAAATCAGACTTGAATGAACATAGTCCTACATCTCACATTAGACCAAATGGCTGAATCACTTCCTTCTGAGTCCTATCAAATACATGTAAGCACATTGTTAGCGCTTCAAGATCAACCAAATTTATTACAATAACTTTATTCCACCTTTACATGTTTACATTTGGAGTAAGTACTTTACTATTAACATAGCAGATAGCAACCACAGTATCATAGAATATATACAAAATATTTTGATTACTTTTACCAACTCCATATCCTTTTTTTTTAATATGTTAACTGTTACCAACTCCATATCCTTGACATACAAAAGTGAACCTTTGTTGGACAAAAAGAAAAGAAAAAAAAAGTGAGCACAAAACTTCATACTCCTAACGAAAGTTTTTTTCTCCACACGAAAATTAAAACAATGAAAACTTTGAATACCACAAGGGATAAAATCCAATTTCATTATATTTTAAGTATCTATGCCTCTAGCTTCCTAAATCTAAAAGTACCTAAACGTGGGCTTTCCATCATTAATATCCTCACCAAACTAATGCAGGCTCATGACCCCAAGATTTTCAGCACAATAGCATAATTTATAATGTTTGGTCCGATTGTTCTAGCTACATATATAGCTGATTACAATCCAATATGATCTGATGGAATTAGTCCCAATCAACCAAAGTTGATTACAATCCAATATGATCTGATGGAGTTAATCCAGAATCAACCAAAGTAACAGTGGGGTTAACTCAGTGGGCGGGGAGCAAGGACATAATGGATGGAAAAATATTCATAACAATTCACGTTGGTTAGTTCCAATTAAGAAGACAAAATCCTCTAACTAATGATTGACAACTGACATCAAGAACAATCAATTTTACATCTCCAACCCTAAAAAAAATAATAGTAAGGACAAGAGAAACCAATACAATCCCTCCATTCCCATAACCAATATCTCGAAGGCTCTAACCAAGTCTTAATTCCCTAAAAAGCACATCATATCCGATTTTACGAGAAGCCCAGCCATCAAGAAATGCGCCCAAAACAATTCCACTGTGGTCAAAGACAAATATCACTCGGTTCACCACATGCGAAACCAATCTAAAAAGAAACTGCAAAACCACAACTTTTTTGTGATCAAGGTCAAACTTTAAGAAGAAAACTTGATTAACGACTGCAAATTTCATAAGCCCCATTTCTAAAAGCTTCAATTCCCATTTCCTATTCAAAATTGACAACCCAAAAGATCTAAACAAAAGAAAAACCAGATAATCAATCCCAATAAAAAAACCAGATCAGACAATAAAAATGAAGTCATGATTGAAATTTTCAGGCATAGAATCGAATGGGAAAAGGATAAAATTTTGAACACCTACCAAGAAACAGAGCTGTGGCCAAAGGTACACAAAGTATCTATAGGTGAATATGGAGTAGGGCTCGCTCAGTTCTTGATCAACCAAGCTCATGACCAAAGGCAAATGGTGCTCGCCCTGATAGCTCACATACTGGACCTCACTGGAACTCGCCTGAATCAGAGTCTGGTCATGGCTCGCAACCACTCTGGAGGCCGGACCCAAATTGGGCTCGTCCACCATTGTTATTGCACCATGCTCTTGCTCATTGGACCAAGGTGAGCTGGAGCCATGGCTGGAAGTGGGCTCACTCGCCATTGTTGCGGGCTCATTCGAGCACGCGCCCAGCCTCGAACTGGGCTCTACCGACATTTATGGGCGAGATTAGAATCGGGCCACGGGTGAAGGTGGACTGGAGGGCTGGGCTCGAGATGGGTTCGATGAATCTTAATGGCAGATAGCCTTTGAATTCCGGGGTTTTTCAATCTCTTTTGCAGAGCATGTAAAATCTAGGGGTTTTCTTTGGATGCGGTTTCTATTAGGTTACAAACTTAAACCATCCAATTAAGGTGTACCCTTTCAAATTTTTTAAATTATTAAGATTATCTGAAAATCTATTTTAGTATTTAATTATAAAATTTTGAACTAAAAAACAAAGTTAAAATAAAATAGATCTATAAACATATGAAAATCTTAAAAATGAACGGTCTCGATAATGTGTTGCAATATACACTATTTTTGAGACTTAAATTTTTTTTTTTTTAATCATATTCATACATCTCTATGTCGAAATAATCAACTAAAGGGTTTTTCAACTTTAAAACAATCTTCCATGGATTTTTGAGGTGGATCCATATTTCCACATTTTAAAGTTGCAGCTTTATATAAACTTTTTCCTTTTTCTTTTAATGTAATTTGGTAGAGTGAAGAAAGAGGCAACCGTAACCTCGGAAAATTTGATCGGGCGCCACAAGGCAAATGAAAGTCGTTGGCTACTTTCGTTTATCATTATGCGAATTTAGAAATTGCATGTGGTTTGTATAAGGCTGAGGCCCAAAACAAGCAAAGTAAGGCGCACTTTCAAATAATGTTGAATGATATTTTGGTATTAGAAATCTTTGTGACCGCCTCAAAATTTATTTTCTATCGCTAATTATAAAATCTAAAGCTTAAAAAATAGTGTAGAATCTTGAAAATTTATGGTCCAGATAATGTATTAACTACTTCCAAGACTTGAAATCCATTTATGCTTATGTTCATATATCTTAAGGTTGAGATGATCAATTTGAGTAATTATGGGTATCGAAACAACCGAATTTTTGAAGTGCGCTTTAATTTGATTTTTTAGGGCCTCACCCTTATATAAACTTTTTCTTTAGAAATTTAGTTTGGCTTCATGTATGCTAATCATTATGTTTCCAGTGTTCGCAACATCAAATCGGAATGGTTAACCAGATATGGGGCCGGAAATGGTTCAACCGGCCTAATCGGTAAACAGGTCGGTTCAACCACCCTAACCCAGCAAGTTTCAAGCGGTCAAAAAAGTGTTAAAAAAAATCTAATAAAATATGAAAAATATATTTAAAACATGCTTAAACAAAACACCTCCAAATGAAGTTGAAGATTAACAAAAACAATATATTTTCAAGAATCGATTTGTTTCCAAGGGTATTTTGAACATTTTCAAAAAAGATGGAAAAATATAAAAATAAGTATTAATTGCCAAAACAATTTCCAATCTTTTCCAAAATGATGAAAAACATTAAAAATTACATTACAAACAAAATTCCTTAATTTTTTTGGATTTTATATTTTTTTTTTCAATTTTTTAAAAAATACCTAGTCAGTTCGCCAAAATTGGCCAAAATCGGAACTGGCCATTGGCCGGTTCCGATTTAATCGGGCGATTAGAATTTGAACGGCATGATTTTTCTTACATTGCTCAAAACTAACTAAGATTACACTTTTTTGTTGGAAAACTTTCAAATCGATCATCTTAACCTTGACCATTATGGTTGTGAAAAAAATTTGGACTTCAAACCTTAAAAATAGGGAAAACGTTTATATATAGCAAATGCTCTAAATAATCAAATTAGATCCTACTTCAAAAATTTAACTTGAAGAGGTTGTTTTGATGTCCAAATATCTTCAGATTGATCATCTCGACATCAAGATGCATGGATATGAGAAAAAAATGGATTTCATATTTTGAAAATAGTGTATTTTATAATGTATTTTTGGACCGTCAATTTTCAAGATTTTCAAGTTTTTATAGATCTGTCAATCTACACTATTTTTGAAGCTTTAAACTTCATAAATAAAGATGATTTAAGGTTATCACAAAGATTTATTATATTAAAACAGCATTTCTCCACACTATTTGAAGGTAGGCTCGAATTTGATTGTTTAGAGCCTAAGCTCTAAACAAACTGCACCCTAAAAATAATATATATTATAGCATTTAATCTAGGCCGTTCCATTTTGCCTTAAAAGGAGTATCCACATATCCATAAGATTTGTACGTTTTTTTTATCTTCAAGCTTCAAAGTTGGTAATGAAAATTGATTGTAAAGCGATCATTGAAATTTCCGATGCCCAAAGTGCTTTTTCGACGAGGATTTGAAATGAGGCTTTACATTATTACCATAAAGTCTAGGCCTTATATAGCAACTGCATCGTACGCCTTTTTTTCGTACACTTTAAAAGCTTAAAAGAGATGTATGAACAATATACTCATGAAAATCTTTAAAGTTTGGAAAAGTTTGGAAAAGTTACGTAAACCCGCTTATATGAAAGTTCCTTTATATACCTCCACTATTTTTTATAGGGTGTGGTTTTTTTAAACAATCCAATTAAAGTACGCCTCCAAATTTTATTGTAACATATAATTTTATTGTAAAAATTTTTTAGGATTATCTTAAAATCTATTTTCATATCTAATTAGAAAATTTTAAATTCTAAAAATGGTTAAAATCAAGTAGATTTATAAATATATGAAAATCTTGAAAATGGACGGTCTAGATAATGTATTGCAAGATTCACTATTTTTGGGATTCAAAAAGGTTTTTTTTTCATATTCATATATCTCGATGTTGAGATGATCAATTAGAGGGTTTTTTAAAATTAAAACAACATTTCCGGTAAAGTTTTGAGGTGAATCCGTGATTCTACATTTTAAAGTTGCAACCTTATATAAACTTTTTCCCTTTCTATAATACCCCTAAGACTTACTGTTTTCTCTTTGCATTGACGTGTCGAAGAGGCCTTTTAAAAAAAAAAACATTTGAACCAAGGTTGATTGATTCGACACTATACACCTTGGTTCATACTATTTTTTTGGGGATCGGTTTAGGTCCCTATGGTCTGCACCAACCTAGGTTCAATGTATTGAACTGAGTCCCAGGACAATTTGGGACTTAGAAAGCCGAATTGACTTGGTCCAACATAATTTGTCTTCCAATACGTCTCAATTATAACCTTCTAGGTTATAATCCAAATTTCTTGCAACTTTTTTTTTTTTTGAATTTGCCTATGGAAGTTTTATGGATAGATGATCGAAAGGCTTTAGCAAAAAAAAAAAACGTAAAAAATATGATGACTTATCATAATAAAAATATGTTATTTCATAGTGTTAACATCTTGAATATTCCAAGTAAAGGCGCAAAGGACGCAAAGGCATACAAAAGGTGTGGCTAATTCTTATGCCTGATGCAATTATAAAGTTTAAGCTACCTACTAATAGGGAGTGTATGCTCAACCATGTTTTGGGTATAAAGCTAAAAAAGAAAAAAAAAATGTCGGTAATACATTTCCCATATTTCTTCTGGACATAGCAAAACAGTAACAATGTACTTCTTAGGTTGCATCTAAATACTACCCAAACAGTGACAATCCATTTGTAAGTAATGTATTTCACATACAATATATTTTCAGATATCCAAACGGCCCCTAACTAATCTAGGCTCAAACTTTTCCCAAGGGCAATTTGCCACTCCAAGTGCGGAACTAGCCTCAGTTCAGTTGGCGTAAGATAATGCCCCTATTTCCTTTCCATTCGCATTTTGTTTCTTGATCTTTTATTGCATAATCCAATATAATGCCGAATAATTTCATAATTCATTTTTGTAGTTGATCATATAATCTAGTCACTCATCTAATTTAGACCATATCAATTAAAACCATATGAGGACCACAAACACATTAAAAAATAAAGATAAAAATAGCACAAATTTTTCAAAAGCTAAAAAAAAAAAACCCCTCAAAATTTCAAAACTAAACATGTGGGTTTATCCATGCCACTACAATAGAAAAACTCAGAACTTCATGGCAGATCAAACTATAGAGCCTCAATACGAAGCCATAAGCCCAAAAAAAAAGCTTTCCGTGCACAATAAATTTTAGGGTTGCGGTCAGTATAGAGCCAAGGCTCGAAACAATCAAATTAGAACCGACCTTCAAATAGTATCGAGAAATATAGTTTCAATACTAGAAAGTTTTGTGATAGCCTTAAATTATATTTTCATTTTTAGTTACAAAATTTAAAGCTTTAAAAAAAGTGTAGATCGAGCAGATCTACGAAAACTTGAAAATTGACGGTCCAAAAATACATTACAAGAGGCACTATTTCTAAAACTTGAAATCTATTTTTTGCTCATGTCTATGTATCTTGAAGTCGAGTTGATCAATTTGATGATATTTGGGTATCAAAACAACCTCTTCTAGTGAAAGTTTTGATGTAGTCTCTAATTTGATTGTGTAGAACTTAGGCCCTAAATTTTATCAAAAGAGAGAAAAAACACAACTACAAGAACTCAACAATGGCCCTCAGCACCTCTGACTTAGGATTTTTGAGGGCCAGTTAAGAAGTAAAACCTTTTTCGTCCCGTGGGGCTCCTCGGCAGGCCTACCCCCTGGCTTGAGGGCCCCTTCTCTCTTCCCTTCTTTGCAGTTTTAAATTCCTCTCATCAGGTTGACAAAATAATCGGCAGGCAGGCCGGCCGGGCTATGAGGGTTGTTCAAGGCTGTGCACCTCACACTGGTTTTCGACCACGCTACTCGCCCTCCTGTCTTCTGCTATCCTTACTTTCTCCCTCCCCTTCTCCTTGGCCCTCCTCCTCGACAGATACCTTGATGGCTGTGTACTTCAGTTTAAGTTAAGTGCCCTCAGTATAGCTTCAGGGTTCTCCTGTCAATCCCTTATAGATGGTATGTATATCCCACCTTTGCACTAACAATAACAATAATAATAGCATATAAAATTAATTGGTTGAAAATCTATCAAATAATGCATTAATAATGAAAGAGTGAAGCTTGTATAGAGTCGAGGTTCTAAAGAATCAAAGTATAGTCCACCTTTAAATAGTGTTGAGAAATGTGGTTTCAATATTGAAAATTTTTGCGATAGCTTAAAATATATTTTTATTTTTAATTATAAAAATTTAAAACTTCAAAAATAGTGTAGATTGAGCAGATCTGTGAAAACTTGAAAATCATGAAAATTG